TCATCTTCCACCTCCTTTTTCACTTCCAGTGCCAGTACTCACTTTGGGGCTGAGAGACCCATCAAGGGTCCTGCACACTTCTGTAGGGCCAGGAGCCCCATGCCTCGGTTTCCCTGCCTGGGAAGACAGAGAAGATCCCAGGCATAAGACAAAGGGAGCATGAGGGCAGTGAGGAACCTGGCCACAAACACAGCAACATGAGAATATGTCGGGGGTCTCTTCCCCCTCTCCCTCCCTGGGCTTATGTTCCATCAGCAGGGCAGAGTCCATCCCCACACAGCACCTTTTCTGCCCCTGCCATGAGCTTTCTGCTCGTGTCCCTCATCGCCATTTCAGCCTAGAGCATTTTGCTCTCCTGTTGGAAACTGTTAACAATAAAATTGATGCAAACACTGCTGTGAGCAGCTCTAGTACCCATTGGATGAGTTCCTCAGGGGCAGACTTCCCATGTAATCTCAGCTCGGCATATGATAGCTCAGTTGGGAGGATGTTGTGCCCTGACTCCCTCTCAGCTCCCAGTGAGCCCCATGGATGTGGTGTAAGCAGGGATGTAGGTGGAGGACAGGCTCGGCTACACACAGGAGGGCAGTGCCCCATGAGTGCCCTCTCCACCCCTGGCCGTGGCATCTGTTGGGGGGAGAGCCCTGCAGCAGCCTTGTGTGGAGGTGATGCTTCCCTGCCTTGTGTGTGCTCTGGGAAATTGCGATAGCTGTGCTCCAAGAAGGGCTGCTCTGCAGAGGCCTGATGCAGGCAAAGCCCCAGGATTTGTAGGAAGTTGCCACGTGCATCCAAGCAGATCCCATGGTGCTGTGCCGGTGCCACCAGCCAGCCAGCAGCGGCCTGGCCAGCTCACTGCACAAGCGCCCCAGGAAAAGCAGATGGAGGAAAAAAGGGAAACTTTCCATTCCAGTGCCCCTAAAAGGACATTATAATTTTCATCCCCTGTGTCATCCTGCTCGCCTGGTTATGTGGCGTTAAATTAGGGCTCTGGTTCGGTTACGGCTCATTACAGGCTTGCGCGTGGCTTTGTTGCAGCGTGCTCAGAAGCACTGAAGGAGCTGAGCCAGTGTGAAAGTCAAAGTTTTAGGAACAGCTTGGTGACTAGGCGCTGAGCCTTGCCAGAGACTGGTGACTTCAGTGAGGATTAGACACAGTTACCATGGAGCTGGCGGGGCATCAAGCAGGGAGCCTCCCTGATGACCCTACCAGTGGGGAGAGCAAAGGGCTTGGGATGGATGTAGACAGATGGGAAGTGGCTTCAGCATCTCCTTTTCCCATTTGAGCAAAGCAGTTGCCTCTTTAGCCTGTCTTGAGGACCTGTGCAGGGCACTGTGTGTGACACAGGGTGCCAAAGGGAGGGTTTTGAACTGTGTCAGACAGCAAAGCAGCTTTTCTGCAGAAATAGCTAAGTCCTGAAATACTTTAAGCAGCTGTGTTTACCCCAAGGCTCTTGCTCAGAGAGATGCTCAGCTGTGGTGTGGGCCTTCAGTACAAACATCACTCACAGTGCCCAGACCAGAGCCACAAAGGGCATTGCTCACTTGTTGGCATTTAGCACAAACTGGAACCATCCCAGTATGAAATCAATGGACTCAGTAAATGAAACAACCTTGGCTTATCCATAACACATCTTTATGTGCTCAGGACATGAGTGTGGCTGTCTTCTTGGGAGCAAATATCCCCATCCTGCCCCCAGGACTGCTTTCATCTCAGCAGTGTCCTCTAGCAGCTTCGGAAACCTTGGCTCCATCAAGGTTGTACTAGGCTGGGATGAGGAAAAACCACAGGGATTCCCTGGGGACTTCTTTCCCTGTTGTCATCACGCAGTGATGCCCATGTTTGCTAGAGTGAGTTCCATTCAGGCTTACAACTTTCTCTGTGTTGTGCACTGGCATTTCTTCCAGCGCTGAAGAGAAGAAGTGTGTTTGTAATTGCTGCACCTGGGGCCATTAGAGGTGCTGATTCAGAGGAGAATTGATCTGTTCTAAGAGGGGAGAGAGGAAAGCTGGCAGCCTCCTAGCTCAGATGCTGAGTCCTGCTCCCTCAGCCTTCTAAAAGCACCGAGAGCAGAGGCTGTGCTTTGGGCATGCCAAGAGGAGCCAGCACAGCAGCTTTCTGCAGGCTGCCTCCAAGCCTGGTTATTGAGGTTCCCTTCCCTTTGCTCTGCTGCAGGCTTGGGGACCCACTGCCACGTCTCCCAAGCCCACCTGCCAGACTGAGTACCAGCCCTCCTGCTCACCTGTGCTTGGCAGCTGCTTTCTAGTGTGTTCAGAGCCATGCTGGGCACAGAGGAGCTTCTCAGCCCCAAAGCAGGGGTACCCCCCAAATCCAGAGGCAAGGCGAGATCCAGCAGGCTGTAAAAGGGGAAGGCTGTGAGCAGAAAGCAGTACTTTGTGATGGAAAGTGGTGACTGTGGGGATGCTGTTTTGGAGGAACTCCATGGGGTAGATGTTCAGCTGCGGGAGGCTGAATGCAGGCTGGCAAATTCCTCTGGTGCAGCTGTGTCTGACATGGTGTGAGCCTGGAGAGTCCAAACCCAGTTGCCACTTCCCCAAAGTCCCGGAGCTCTGGTCAGAGCAATGCACTGATGATGCAGCCCACAGCAGGGGAGACATGTTCTGCCCGAAGCATTGAGTGGCATTTGTATCCTCAGCAGGGACATCGGCCCCTGCCAGGCCTGGAAGCTCCTGCTGTCCCCAGACAAGTGAGGACTGAACTGGACAGGTTATTTCCCTTGTGCTGTGTGATTGCTCTCGAGATGCTGGTGGTTTGCTTTAGCACTCAAGCAGGGAGCCCCTGGAAGAGTTGGGACAGGTGCTGGAGGACTGTGGGAAGTGCTTGTCCTCCTTTTCCGTGCTGGGGCTTGTGTCAGGGTTGGCATAGCAGTGTTCTGTGAGGCCCCTGGCACCTCCCCAGGGGTTAGGGGAATAGCTGGAGGGCTTACAGGGTGCTCAAGTCTCACGGGGCTGAGAAACTAGGAAGAGAGAGGCAGAAGAGGTTTTTAGTCACTGTGGATCAGCCGATCTACTCCCATTCCTTAGCATCGTTCCCCAGCCCATAAAAGCCTTTAAAACATCTCAAGGCACCTTAAGCTTGAAATACAAGGACAGGCAGTTGCATCTCCCTGTGGATCAGCCGCCGGTGTGTGGTGAGAGCGGGGACACAGCAGTCCAGCAGCCATCCCTGTGCCGGACCCCTCCTCATCCCCGCAGCCCTCCCTGCTCACAGCTGTGTCCTGCTTGCTCTCTTTGCAGGAGAAGAAAGGCCAAGAGGTTAAGAAGGGTCCCGAGGTGGAAATCGCGAAGCTGGAGAAGCTGCTTAGCCTGGTAAGAGAGCCGGAGGCCAAGGCAGAGACGTAAGAGGGGGAACGATGGCTCTGCCAGCAGCCGCCGGCCGAACAAGCTCGGCTTTGATCGGCGGCTGCTTGGCATGCAAGCCACGGGCCCGCGCCGCCCACTTTTTGCACAACAGGAACACTTCGCCTCTGTGCCCGGACAAATAAACGAAGGTGCTGGGAGAGCTGTGGTGTGCGGTCGCTTCTGGGGTCAGGCAAATCTCACCGTGCTCGCTACCCCAGAGCCACAAGCCCTCGTCATTCCCTGCCCTTGGATGGGTTTGCACTAGGTGAGAGCCCTATGGAGAGCAGGTGAGGGCTGGTCCCAGCAGCCCCAGGAAAGCCTCAGGACTGCAGCTTCATGGCAGGCAGTCGCGTCGTGAGCGGCGGCCTGAGGGACTGAGCGCTGAGCTGCAGCCCCACAGGCATTTGTGTGGTCCTCTGGATTTTGGGGCGGCAGCCGAAGCTGGAGAGTGGCTGGAAACCTGGCCCATGACTGCGGGAGAGAGACGTGCCATCCCTCCAGAGAGCACATCACAGCAGCTGCCGCTCACCAGCTGCGGGAGGGTCACGGCTCCCCCCTCCCCGGGGGCATCAGCCCAGCTGGTGCCTGTGGGAATGGCTGGGCGCCGGGGTTTGCAGAGCCTTCCCACGGCTCCGGCGCTGCGCAGCAGAGGATTAGCTGCTGCGTGGCTGCGGTGGCGGCAGGAGCCGCGGTGGCCTCGGCGCATGCTGATGAGCGGTGAGCGTCGGGCTGTCACCGCTGGATCCTTGTGCACTGCTCCCGGGGACTGGGGACCAGAGGCGCTCGTCCCACCACACAGGTGTGGTGGCACGTGTCCTCCATCCACTTAGCTGGCCCGTGTCCCCCACAGGCATCCCTGTAATGTAAGGCCACAGCTTAGAAACTCACGGTGCCTCTGGCGCAGAGGCTGGGGAGTGCTCCCTGCTGACACTCACTTGTCTCCAGACCAGGCAGACATGCTGCGGGCATGAAACACCAGGTCAGGTTGCTCACCCAGCATTTAAAAGCCACAGATGAATGAGGACACGAGCCCTTCCTTATCACCATCACCCAGCAAACCACCCACAGTCCTCCAGTCACATCGGCCACCAGCCCCGGGGCTCCTCAGCCCTGCGGGATGGCAGGACACACCACCTCCCCCAAATTTTTCAGGCGCTGGGTAGAGCTCAGAGACACCACCTGGGTCCTACAATCGGTTTATTAGTCTAGTAAAAACAAGGCTGCAAAGGGATGTGTTCACTACACCTGACATGGGGAGGAACCCCAGGCTCTGCCAGGCCTGGCCAAGCCTGCGCAGGGACCCTGGCCAGTGTCCCTCCCATCCCACCCCTCTGTCCCCTTATTGCAGTGACTGTGCCAGCAGTGACCATGGCTATTGCTCGGCTCTAGGATAGGCAAGGCAGAACCCTCCAAAACCCACGGCACCTGCTGGCAGGGCAGGGGATGCAGCAGCCAGGCTTGAGGACAAGCCAGACTACCAGCATCCCTCCCCACAGAGCCACTGTGATCCCCAGGGAACAGTCGGGGTCAAAGAACCTTCAGTGCTGTTTGTCTGGGCACTCTCATCTCCCCATGTCTCCCACCTCCCCAGGAAAAAGCCACCCCAGGCTGCTGTCAGTGGGGATGGGAATGCCAGCGAGCTGGCAGTAGGCAGGAGGGAAGGCAGGGACAAACCCACGGTGAGGAAGAGGGCTGTTTGCCTAGCAGCATTAGTGCTAATGCTGGAGGGGATTGACAGACAGAATGGGGAGGATTGGGCAGACCATGCAGACCCTCTTGTGCCTCATCAAACTGGCTGCTTGGGCAGATGTGTGCCAAATGCCATCCTGAGGCTGGGGACCCATGGCACCCCAGGGTCATCCCCAAACATCTGGACTGGTAACACCCTGCTCTGCCGGCAGGGCCAGGGCTGCTTGGGTCCCCCTGGGCACACCCCACCATTGAACAGCCAGCCTGCTTGGGAAAAAGTGCCTGTACCAGCCCTGCTGCCTCCTCTCTCCGAGCCTCCACCCAGCCTTGCTCAGGTCTGCGCTGTGGTGGCCACTATCCTGGGCCCACAGGCTCTTCCCAAGCACAGGGTGCACATGAGGGCAGGGCTCCTGCTGTGCTTTCTGGCCGCTGGGACAGGCATGATTGTCCCTGTAGCACATCCCCATCTGTTGTCTCTCTATCCCCATGATCACTGCAGGCACTCGCAGGAACTTCACACACTAAGACTGCCAAGGCAAAGGACTGTGCCCCCTGTCACGGCCCCTGTGAGCAGCTGAGTGTCCCCTCTGCTTTCATCATGCCTAGTCTGGCACCCCAGTCCTAGCACAAGCATCCAGGCTGGGGCAACTCCTTTGGGACAGCCGGGTACCCAGCTCCCCAAATCAGGCAGATCAGGGCTGCAGCAGGTACTTCTCTTCATTCCTTGACTCATCCACATCAGAAGCTGGGCTCTTCTTGGGACATGAAGGGGTCCTGCAAGCTTTGCAGAGGATGAGGAAGAGGATGAGGATGAGCAACGCAATGACACAGTTAAAAGAAATTGCCACGATCGCCCCAGTGGAGAGAGCAGCCCCCATGGCCACTGTCCCACAGGAGTAAACAGGGCCCACAGCTTGGTCTCACACTTGGGATGCCAGTGCAGTGACTGTGCGTGCAGCCTCCACCTGCCGGCATTGGCAGGGGACAGAGGGGACAGCGGTGGTGCTGGCGGTGGGGTGGGACCAGGCAGGACGGGACCAGGCAGGCAGCAGGACAGCGTCCTCCCCGTCAGTTTGGCAGCTCACAGCTGAGTCCCCGGCTGCTCCGCACAGCTGGGAAGGATCGATGAGAGCCTTCTCTCGGCTCCTCCTTCCTCCGGCAGGGCAGTGGGGACACAGGGATCCCTCTTCTCCTTCCTGGAAGAGAGAAAGTCACCATCACCACGGGTATGAGTGGACAGGCTGTGTGAACCCCTCAGGGTGGGCTCTAGGGGTATCAGGGGGCAGCGACCCCAGAGCCCAAGGGGCTCCGCTGGAGTATGGAGGCTGCAGCAGCTTCCAGGTCAGCTGCTGTTTGGAGGACCTTTCCAGCACCGCATGCCCTGGCCGTCCTCTCCATCCCCTGCGAGGGCCACCAAACTGGAGGTGTCCCCAGTGGGAGACCCATCGGCACCTCCCCGCGCTGCACTGGGTGACTCCGGGCAGCCCTGGCCGCGCTCCTATCCCCTCTCCACCCTCCACCTGCTTTTCCTGCCGCCGGGACCCCGCTGCGAGGTTCCGCACCCAGAACGGGGCCAGCGGCCGGGCGGCAGCAGGTGGGGGCCCCCCTTGTGCTTCTCACCGGGTCAGGGAGAGCCCCGGCTCCGGGTATCCCCGGTGCCTCTGATCCCCCGCCCGCCGCGGAGCCCCCGGCACGGGGCAGCAACAGGTGCCACCAACTCCGCCCTCCCGCCGCGGGGTCTCGGCGTTACCTACCTGCCTCCGCTGCGCCCCGGGAACCGCCGGGACCCCGGTGCCGGCGGGAGGCGCTGCCGGGGCCGTGTCCCGGCGCGGAGCGGGGTCCCGGCGTGGTGTGCGGTGTGTGCGGTGTGCGCGGTGTGCGCGGTGCTCGGTTCCGGTGCGGTCCCGCCGGGCCGCCCGTGGGTGCCGCAGCCCCGCGCGCCGCCCGCGTCCTCCCGCCGGCACCGAGGGGCGAGGCCCGTCCCCGCCCCGCCCTCGCCCCGCCATTGGTGCCCGCCCGCCGCCCGCCGCTCGCTATTGGCCGAGCTCCCGGCCTGGGACACGCCCCCTCGCGCGGCGCCCACGTGAGCGGCGCCGGGACAGCGGCGGGCAGCGCGCGCTCTGCCGGCACGGACATGGACACGGACCCGGACCGTGCGGACCCTGGTACTGCCGGCACCGCCCCAGATACTGCCGGTGCTGACCCCGGTACTGCTCCTGGTACTGCCCCAGATACTGCCAGTGCTTACCCCGATACTGCACCGCTACTGCTCCTGGTACTGACCCCGGTACTGCCCCAGATACTGCCGGTACTGCCCCGGTACCGCCCCAGATACTGCCGGTGCTGACCCCGGTACTGCTCCTGGTACTGCCCCGGTACCGCCCCAGATAGTGCCGGTGCTGACCCCGGTACTGCTGCTGGTACTGACCCGGTACCGCCCCAGATACTGCCGGTGCTGACCCCGGTACTGCTCTGGTACTGCCCCAGATACTGCCAGTGCTTACCCCGATACTGCACCGCTACTGCTCCTGGTACTGACCCGGTACTGCCCCAGATACTGCCGGTGCTGACCCCGGTACTGCCCCGGTACTGCCCCAGATACTGCCGGTATTGACCCCGATATTGACACCGGTAATGACTCGGTACTGACCCAATACTGCCTGTACTGACCGCGGTACTAACTCGGTACTGACCCCGATATCGACCCCGGTACTGCCCTGGTAACTGCTCGGACTGACCCCGGTACTGCCCATTACTGCCGGTAGTGCCCCGCTACCCGCACTGAGCCGGTACCGACCCCGGTATTGCCACGGGTACTGCCGGTGCTGCCGGTACTGCCCTGGTGCCTCCGCTGGCTCTGCTGCCCTCCCGCTGCCGCTGGTGCAGCCCTGCCTGTATCTCCCTGCCTGCCCTGCCCTGCGCACATGTGTGCACACACACACAAACACATGTCCACGGACACACACGTGCACCACGGCCCGGCATGCCGGGGTGGAGGACGCTGAGCACGGACTTGCCAAGCTGGGCTGAGGTCCCTGCCGGGTCACAAGGGCTACAGGCAGGGGTGGGCACAGGCACCCATCACAGCCCACGGAGAGGAAGGAACAGGACATTTAGGGACGTTCAGTACCTCGGAATCTGGGCAGTATCAGCCTCACCTGCACAGCCGGGTTCTCCCCGTCCTGTTAGTGGGGGAACTGAGGAATGGGGCAACCCAACTCTGGGCATGCCACACCCCTAAACTGCCAGCTTCCATATGGGCACCAGAGCCAGACACCCTGGTGTGGGGCGTCACCCCAAAGGGGGGGAACACTTAGTGAAGGACACAGGGGGGGAGGTGGCTGGGGGGACATAGGGCACTGGAGGTGGTTCCTGGAGACCCCCAGGGATCAGATTTCGGCACCTGCAGTTGCTCTGAAAAGCCAAGCCCAGGCCCCACGAGCAGCTGGTGACACAGACACATGATGGTGACACAGGAATCCACAGCAGCCTCTCGGGGAGCAGGGGCCTGTCCGGCCAGGCAGCTCCACACGGTGTGCCGCACCAGGGAAAAGAGGCAGCTGGATGAAGGATGGGTGAAGGGCAGACCTTTAAGAGAACTGGGACCCATCCTGGCTGACCTGGCACTCACAAGTGTGAAGGCTGGGAAATGCTCGATCCTGACAGGAGAGCCACCAAGTCAGCGGAGGATAACTTTCCAATGGTGAAAACAAAAATAACAATCATTTTGCAGCTTTGATGAGAAGGCGTTAAACGTGCTACCACCACGAGGGAGGCTCACACAGGCTGCCTGAGGACCTGGCTCTCAGGCTCTCCACTGAGCGGGTGTTTTGAGTAAACAAACACAGGCACATTGCCTGTTGAAATGTCAGAACCAATCTGATCACACACTGGAGCATCTTCCTTGGCATTTATGGCTAATCTGCTAATTAGTCAAGAAAAGCAGTCTCCTCCTTAGATGTAAGGGAGCAGCAGCTGTGAAGAGCACCAGGTAAACCAGATTAACTCTGCCCCATCCCCAGGCTTCACCTGATCTGGAACAGCAGACAGGTCAACAGTTTCCCTGCCTACCTCCCTGTCCAGGGACAATGGTGGGGCAGGAAGCAGTGAGATCACCAGAGGTGGAGGATGAGGCACATAAACCCAGTACTGTCCTGGCCATGCCGGGTGCTCAGCCTGTGACAAAGCTCATGTTGACACAAGGCCAGCGGGGTTGCACGAGCCTGCCGTGAAGGCATTGCGTTGCACAAGCAAGCTACTACATCTCTCCTGACCCCTGATTTAGGTGAAATCTCTTCTTTAAACACTTGTGTTTGTTACCCATTGTCTGACAATGCAAAACGTTGGGTCCACCTGGAGCTCATGACACAGGCAGGACAGGCAGTGCTTGGGACACGCTGTGAGCAGGGGCTGTTCCAGTGAAAGCTCAGCCTGTCACAGGGAACAGCACTTCCATCCTGCCCAGAGTTACTTACCAGAGCTGCTCCAGAAGGGAAACTATTGCCTAAGAAAAGGTGATCCATCCTTTGCCTCACTCAGCAGAGTTTGGAATAAGTCTTTTTGAGACTGCAGTTCTGGCCAGGTTAAAAGAGCAAAAAAAGTATTAGCAAAAAGTTTCCCAGAAAAAAACCACAACGCTGACCTTTTTTGGATATTAAAGGAGGTTAATATTTGCATATTAAGCTACTCCCCTCAGATCAGGGTCCATTTGCAGTCAGGAGAGGAACAAACTCGAAGCAGCTGGAGAGCTGGAAGAGCAGCTGCAGCCACAGCCCCGCCACCAATGCTCACAGGGTGACCTCCAGTGGGACAAGGTAGACATGACAAATTTCCAAGTTGCATGAAGAGAAACTTTATTTTGAACCCAACTTTGTGCATTATGAAGGAGCATAAGAGGAAAGAACAGTATCCTTTGGAGGTTCCCATGACTACCACCCCAGGGCAGTGGCACAGCCACAGGATTTCAGGCTGGTTATGGCACGAGTGCTGCCACTCTGGCAGAGAAGAGCGACTACTGGCTCCACAGAGCTGAAGTGGGACTGGAAGGGAGCTCCGTGCACACAATGGCAGATGGACCTGTACCCTCACAGTCCTACATTCAACCCCCCAACAGACTCAGCAGACAGACTCTGAAGCACACAAGTGGCCAACCCAGCCCTGCATCCCACTGTCTGTCCACTCACAGCCCTGGGGATGCCAAGGGAATTCCATGTCAGGTCTGCCCTTTGTGTCTGCCACACAGGCAGGTAGGTGTCTGTCCCACAGCCTGGGCTGCTGCACCCTCTGGCAGCAAAAATCTGGCCAGGTGAGCAGCCCCTCTGCTGGGGCTCACTGACAGGACACCAACAGTCCTTGCTCACGCAGAGGTGACTCCCATCTTCCCCAACCCACTGTGAAGCACGGCCTGGCAGCCTTTGGCAAGGGAACTCTTCAAAACACAGTTTCAGACAGCCACAATCACAGGCAGTTACGGGAGTCCTGCCCTCCCCTGACGTGTGTCAGCAGCAGCTCTGCAGCCCCAGCAGCGGCTGGTTCCTGCAGCCACCCCGGACCACGCGGCGCCGGTGCCTCGAGGCTCCCGCTCAGGGCTCCCCCAGCGCTGCCCCTGCGGAGCGTGGGTGCTTCCCTGTGCTCCCAACGCCCCGGCCCCCACCCTGCTTCCTCTTCATCTGGCCCTGGGACTCTGCTTTGAGTGTCTCAGTCCAGAAGGCATCAAAGGATCCTGGAGCCTGGTATCCCGGCTCCTGAGGGTCCAGGGGGTCTTTGCTGAGCAGGACACATATTGCAGGAATGTTCCTCTTCACTGTCAAGGCATCGAGGCCTGCCTCAGGCACGATAGGTTCCCACATCTCCTCGATTTGCCTGAAGAGCACCTTGGTGATCTGGTGCAGCTCCTTGAGCCGTCGTTTCATAATTTCCACACAGGTGATGGTCTTGCTGACAGCCTTGCCTGAGCCAGTGAAGAGAATCTGCCTCACAGACTCCTGCTCCATCTTGCTCATGGCATAGCCCATCAGATTCCTGATTTTGCTCCCGTCCTTCACCTTCATCTCAATGATATCAGCGGGCAGGTCAGTGAAAGGAAGAGGACAAGGTTTCTCCACGATTTTGGTCTTCTTATAGTTCTCCATTCTGCACTGCTGAAAGGGAAAACAGATCCATGAACACAAACTCCCACTGTAACTGCTGCACAAAGAAATTCTCACCACAATTAGCTACGACCTCTCCTCTGAAGGGCACTCTCAGCTGTCAGAGATGGGGATCCTGGAGAGCCATATCCAAAAGACTAGCCCAGTGCTTATAAGGATGTACCTCCAACATGAACACACACAGGGCAGCCTGAGCCCCAGCAGGCAGGTGATGAAAGGAACAGGCTGTTGGCCTGAACAGGACAAGTAACAAACACAGGCTGCATCTCAGGAGAAGACAGAACAAACGAGTGAGCTGTGATTCCTGGGAACAGAAGCCAGGGGGATGCTTCCACAGCTGCACCCCGTGGGAACAGACCAACTGCAGCACCTCATGTGTGCCTAAGACACGTGTGGGGCTCTGGCAGTGCAGGTGAGGGTAAAACACTGCGTGTCGCAGGAGAGAGAGCAAGCCAGGGGCTGCAGGAACAAACAGAAGTTTCCTCGAAGGAAACTGAAAGACAGAAAGGTGCAGTCTCACACTACCCTCTCTGCCAAGGCGGGTCCCATCCTGACCCAGGTCTCCCTGCCCTGTGCAGGGCACTCCGCCCCCCACCACCACGCACACCGCTCAAGGCATTCAAGCACACAGCACTTTGTTACCGGTGGGCTCCTGAGCCCCGTTCCACCCACACCTGCAGGGACACGGCAGCCCAAGGCCCGCGCTCCGGACCACGGGAGCACACGAGGCCCTCCCCCCCGGCACGGCCGCAT